GCATCCACCAATGTACCCCTTTCCCCATCCCTCCATACAAACACACACGTACACACACAAACACACACACACACACACACACACACACACACACACACTCACACACACACATACGCACATTTACTCGCGTGCGCATGCCAAAACAAATATGCAAACACGCCCAAACCTTCGACAGATGTAATTAATCCTATGCTGTACATTCCCCACCAACTTACTTCGGGCTGTTTGTCTGCCTGTATGTCTGTCTGTCTGTCTATGGGCATGTATGGTAATAGGGCGCCACTGACAGGACGTACTACTTTTCTTCCTTTCTATTGTTTTTGTCTGTCTATCCGTCCTGCTTTTTCCATTTGTTGTGCCGGCATGCTTCTCTAAGGGCCTTGAAAGACTAGCTACAATTGTTGCGCAGTAAATTCTGCGCAGAAGTTTTCTTACTTTTGTACGGCAGCCACACGGGGCGACATTTAACGCTACTGCTCAGTTCAACATGGACGATCGGAGAGTCATGTACATCCAAACATTTCAAGATAGAAGTCAAATAAAATGGAAAAGTTGCTTACGTATCTGTTTCTTCTGTGTGTCATTTGCATCATCATTGTATTCTGGTCTGAGTGCTAGGTATACATCTATCCAAGCATCATTTTGTTTAAATTCCTCACTTGTGTTGTCCCAAATGATGTTTCTGCTCTTTATTTCCAAAATAAACGCTCTGTTTCGTGATAAGAAAACATGGTTGCACTGGGAATATTGTCGTGTAGAATGAGAAGCAAGAAAAATTACAACTATTGTAGAAATTCGCAGGCAGTAAATACACCTCATGTGTCGGCGTCCCTTGAACTGTGTGCTTCACCAAAACGCTGGTGTGTCGCGGTGTAGCAGAATGTGGGCGACACACGTCTGCTCCGCCAGAACTGAAAATAACACCTGCCGCTCGTGTGACCGCTCCCATTGTCTTACAGCGTATTACCAGACTTGTGTCCTCGATTTCACAAAACATATCGAGAGATCGATCTGCCTACACCATCCATCAAGATCCTCTTTTCGATCTTTGGCGTGCTTGGTTTCCTATTTTCGGATGTAGTGTTTGACGTTCCAGGACATAAGAAGAGGATTGAACTGGGTGAGGCCGGAGAAAGAAATGAGCAACTTCATGAAGGTGATAGCTATGCTCTCGTGGAGACAATTAGCAGGAAGACCCTGAGGTGG